GATTAACACACCAAAATACTGCGATAATACTGCCAGGTCGCCAGTCTGGAGCTAGCTAGCCTTTGTTGACATTAGGACTATGTGAAGACGTCTACCCCCACCAGTCCAGACTCATCACATCTCACCTAGCGCCATTTTCGAAGATCAGCTGTTCGGCGCATCCGCAGTCGTCGATCGGGATCGTTAGGATATCGATTCGATGCTTTCTCACCATCGACTGTGAAACATCGTAGAAGGTAATCACCGGGTTGGAAGCAGAACCTCCAACCTGGCTCGTATTTTTGTTTTTTATTCTCACCAAGACATTTGAACATTTAGTTAGTTTTCGGTTCTCTCAATAAATTAGTTTTGTTATTTTAGACAGTTATTTTTCTTTCTCTTTATTTTATTTATAGTTTTTAGAAGTGGATTTTACTGTATATTTTTTTCATAATGTTAACCGTTTTTATTTTCACTGAACATTATATTTTATGTTTTATTTTATTTTACTGCATTTGAATATTTTTTTTTCTCTTCTCATTTGTTTTTTTTTTATCTTTTATCTCAATAAATGTCGTAAGCATTTGGAAGGGGATTTTTCATTTTCCATTTTTTGATTTATTAAATATTTCTATTTAATATTATTTTCTTTTGCATGCATTTGTTTTTTTTTTCTTTAATGTTTTACAGGTCTCATATTTACTCCTTTTTTACCTCCTTCTCAACGTTTTTAATTTCACTCGAATTTTCCCCAACATTGAGGAAACGCACCGGGGAAAGATTTGTACTTCGATTTTGAAGTACCCCTGGTCCCAACAGTACCTATAGTGTGAATGTTATCCTACCTGACTGTAACTAATGTCCAAGTGGCAACTTGTTGTTATACTCAATAAATAAATATATAAAAAATAAAATAAAAAATTATTCCATGTAAAAAATGCTTATATGAAACTCGAGATGGATTCGATAAAAAGGGCCAAGTTTTAGGAGGGCTTGATGTTGATGGTGGGCTTATTTCGTTTCATCCCCCGCCTTTTCAATTGTATTTAAACCAGGTTAAAAATTGCATCTTCTTTCCCTTGTAGGGCCCTGAAGCCAATTTAGGGAGCTCTTCTCAACCGATCGTAAAGAAACACATATGTGCCCCTTGAGTACCACACCAAGGGCGCTATCTTCTGGCTTGATGGAGGCCTTGGGGCTTTACACGGCTGTTTTATAATCTACCTTGTTCTTCAAATTTAAAAAAACAATTTTTTTTTTACAGCAGACTCCGGCTATCCGTATTAACCGGCGTTAGCAGTAAAAGAAAAAAAAAAACATTTTTTAGAATCCTTAAAAGCACTTATAACGTTGTGAGATTCTCAGCCTTCGGTAATAAATATAATTTTTGTTGTTTAGTGGTTTGACAGATTTTCAATATATTGAAATGCAGACAAAAAAGTTTTTGTTTATTATTTTTTCACAATTGGCCGAACCTCAATTGAATCGGTGAGTGCAGAGACCACTTCAGTCACAAATTTTCAGAAATTTTTCAGGGGAGAGAAAAAACGTCATAACTCCTACCAATTTTCAAATTTTTGAACTTTTTTTTTTCCTCTGTCATAACATGCATTTATGTTGCTGTCATGCAAAAATTACCTGATTTCAACATAAATTAGGCTCAGAAAAATTAAAAATTTTATTCGGACTTATGCTGTTTCTGCATTCAGCTGTTTTTTACACAGACAGCTGAAAACTACGAAAAAGTTAACAATTCACAGAATACAGACTTTTACAATCGTGAATACGGCGTATTTATATTTACAGCCGTGAATACATATCATCTGTATTCATATTTATTTTTATGAATATAAATATATATATATTCATAAGTATCATAAATACAAATGGTATTCGTATTTATATTTTTTAATAAAAATATACCCATTTCTACTGGTCCTGCGATTCAGCGATGGGTGCAGAAACCACGTCAGTCACTGACTCATGTTATTTTTGCGCTCAATGATCGAAAAGAACGTCATGTATTTACGAAACTACGCTACAGACTAACGTGGTCGTTGCACTCAACACGCATCTTGCCTTTCTAAGCTTCTTTTCATCGAAAACGATTCTTCGCATTTTTTTCACATTTCGCATTTCTCACATCTCCCGACGGACAATTTCTACCCTCAAACTATTCCATCGCTTCCGCCATCTCCTACCTCACCATATGCGTAGACTCCTGGTTTCCTCTCTCATCTTCCCCCACTTTGACTACAGCTGTGTGGTATATGATGGACTCTCGGTGGAGTTCCGTGACAGACTGAAAAGATTAATGCAAATGTGAGATTTGTAATTGGTGCACCGAGATACTACCATGTCTCTCACCACTACACTGAGTTAGAGTGGCTCTTTCCCTCCATTCGAAAACAATATTTGCTAGGTACTCAAATTCTACGTAGTTTTAAGTGTCTTGGCAAGGTTTCAAGAGTTTTGTATATAGATTTTTTTATTATTTTATTTTGTATATAGAATAGAATAGAAAATAGAAATACTGGGACTAAGTCCCCTTAGAATAACAAAGATGAATTAATACAAAATAAAATACCAATCTGGCCAACAACTAACTTATAAAAATTCTAACATAATATATATTATTTATAAAGTAGTATGTAACCACTAAGAAATAAACAAAAACAAAAAATATACATATATATAAATACACGCACATATACATACATACACACACATACACATACATATACATACATACATATATAAATGAACATACAATCTTCTCCAAATTTACTTATTATTATGATTAAAAAAAAAAAACAGAAAAGAAATATATAGCATGTATAACTAATATTTTCTTTACTGATTTATCTTTACCTTTACTTTTTATGTTTGTTTTTATTTGGCCAGATATAACATTTTAGTTTTGTAATTTTTTGTTATTTTCCCATTAAAATCCCATTTGTTATTCCCAGAATAAAATTATTTTCTATTCTATACTATTCTATATTATCGACATTAGACATGACATATTTTCTTGAAAAGGTTTTAGTCGATGTTTTTGTTTGTGTACTACGTTTTTATTTCCAGTTGTGTTACATCTTTCATTCAATTAACTAGTGTAACAAAATGAGCGAAAAAAGAAAACGAGTTGTGTCATTGAAAGATAACAATATTAAAATTTTTCCACAACATAGAAGTTAAGAAATATTGGAGTTTTTTTTTTTATGCCCTCTGTATTAACCGGCTCTCTCGCTTAACCGGCGATGTCCCTGTCCCGATGAGGACGGATAAGCAAGAAATTAGAGTATTATGTTAATATTTCGAACTAGTCTAACAACTCGGTCAGGACCACCACTGTTTAAGAACCACAAGAACCACATACTATAGAAATATTACTGTATTTTTTCAGAATAGGTAAACCTAACTATTATTTATAATTTATATTTTATATTATTAGTCTTGCCTTGTTGATGTTTTCGCTTCTATCGTGTGGTCTAAGCCACACAGCATAGTTTTCTATTATTTATCTAACATATAAAAAGTTAGATTTAGACGATTTTTTAAATAGTTTTGTAGGAAATTTTGAAAATAACCTTTTAAAAAAAATTACCACTACATAGTACAGAAATATTTCTATTTTTTAGAATGGGAAAACCTAACTAAACCCCGAATGAAAAAATTGATGAGTTAAATGCAAACGGATATTGGTTCTACCAAAATACAAGACCAAGATTGATTTTAGGCAACACTAATCAATTCCATGTTGATTATGCTTTTTGAAAATTATTTTTTGTAGAACTAATCATTTGTTATTTTTATTGGATTGCTCATGAACAATATACTTTCCCATTATATCATTCACATTGTTTTTCCGATTAGGCCATTTAAATCTACCAATATAATGACTATATTATACTTCTAAATATTTTTATAATATTTGAGAGTGACACATAAGATATTTAATATTAAAGAGTTGTAGATGAAAACAAAATATCGAAAAAATGACTCTAGGAGATTTAACCTTCATGGCATTATAATTTTTTAATTGATTAAATTTATCAATAAGTTAAAAATATGATAATTTTTCCTATTTTTTTAAAAAATATATTTCCCGTTTCAATTTACAAGTTTCTCGTATAATATTCTTTGAACCAGCCACCATTTTTTAAAGAAATGGCTCTGGAATGGCAAACAAGGTTCATTTTACTTCCAATAACAGTACCCTTCTGAGGCCTGGCTACATTTTTACATATGTACATGGCTACATTTTTTCAACTAGTGTTTGACAACCATGTAGAAAAGAACTAATAGTTCAGAGAAGATGTGGTGAAATAATTAACTTATGAATTATTCCGTGGTTCAGGCTCCTTTTTATCGAATTGTTAACATCCGGCCGAAACTTCGTAAATAACTTTATCTCATTGTAACCTACAAATATTTTATTTACGAAAATTCTCGGAATTGGCGCGTTTTCGATCTGTAAGTCATCATACTTTGTGTATTGTATTAGGTACGACAAAGACGTAAATAATCATTTACTTTTCACTGTAATCGTAAGATATCTCGATTTGCCCCATATAACCTCGTTATTTTGAAAATTTGGGGGTGTTGGTCACGAAAAATAGTTCAATATTTTTTAAGGCTACATTTTATATCGACTTTAAGCTCAAGTTATCTTACCATTAAAGTGGAAAGAAAATGGGTATTTATGGGTTTTTAGTACGTAATTAAATAAACAAAGTTTGCCTACCTGTAGATTGAAAACGCCCCAATTCCGAGAATTTTCACAAGGATGTTAATAAATTCATAAAAAGAGAGCTGTACCACGGACTAAATATTTGAATAAGATACACTCATATCTATTCCATATGTTTCAATTAATGTTATATTTTTTAATGGTTAACCGCGATAGTCATTATAAATAATTATTTTTAATTTGATTTATTACATTTTTTTATAATTCTGAATGATATGATCAGTTCTAGATTCTAAATAAAAAACTAAAAATGTCACATGTGTTGTGAAATGAGTACTTAATTCCATCTATTAGTAGCAGTATTTATAAGATTCATTATTCGAGCGTTTATTGCCTGTTACTTATAGGAATAAACGCTATAGTAATTAATTCACTAAAATTTATATTCAACAAGTTACACAAAGGAAGATTAGTATAAACTGTCTATATTGATATTTTAATTATCAAACATATGTGATATTGCTTTTACTTGAGGTTAGAATGTATATGGATAGCTTAAACGGAAAAACAAGCGAGGAAGAACCATCGGAAAAAAATGACGAGTCAGACTTATTCATACCAACAATGGTCATCAAATGTCCAAGTAGTTCGATCAAGAAGACTCATATCGATCCATCGGAAAAAACAATAAAATCTTTATCTCGTTTGTATCTGACTTACAGCTGTGTAAAGGTATGCAACGGCTATGAGCTTAGCCTAAAGGGAGAACGCGTTTACAAAAAGTTGGGACGAAGAATAAATGACCTGGATTTGCCGATCATTTTGAGTCATGTTGCAAGCGAGGGGGATATCTTATCATTGGATCTGGCTAACAACATGATCACAGACAGCGGGTTTTATATGTTCTGCCAATTTCTGTTAAATTCTAATCTGAAAAACCTCAATCTACGTAACAACGAGATCGTTAATCTCAGCGAAAAAGGATGCGAAATGTTAGGAAGAGTCACGTGTCTGAAAAGATTGACGTTGTCCGGAAACCATCTTGCCCAAAAGTCAGCAGAATCCCTCAAGTTGGCCCTTAAAGCCAACAAGTCACTGGAAGTTCTGGAGCTGGAAGGAGTCGACTTCTATGTCCACTGTGTCAACCGAATTACAGATGCTCTGATCGAATCCAAAAGCAACCTGAAAGTTTTGAACATCTCGAGATTGCTTGGGATACCTAGATACAGGCTCCGAAGCTATTACCTGGCCGACATGCTGTACGCATTATTGGTTGCAAACCCCTGCTTGGTTGAGCTCCACGTTGAGAAGAACGCGATTACGGACCATGACCTGATCAGGTTAGTGGAGGGCTTGAAGCGTAACAGGACTCTTGTCGTCCTCAATCTCACCGCTAACTTCATCGGCAACGTAGGCCTCGAGAGGATCGCCTTGATACTGCCGAAATCTAATTTGCAAGTCCTGTTGTTGAGGAGCAACAAGATAGGAAACCAAGGGGCCATCGCGCTGTCCAAGGCGATGCCATTGTCCAAGATACTCCACCTGGACCTCGCTCACAACAGGATCGAGGACGTAGGCTTCGCCAATCTTCTATGGACCATCAAGAAGCCTACTCCGCTTTATACGTTCTACATAGTCGGCAATAATTTTACGAAACAGACGCTGGAGATTATACACGTGCAAATGCTACGCGGCAAGATCATCCCGGACAGTTTGGACATCGTCCTCTATTGGGAAGAAGACGGGTCGATACGATGTTCGCACAATCCTGACGCTGAAGAATACCGCAAGCAGATGGCCGGCCTATTCGACGGCAGCCATACTCTGAAGAAAAACAACCTTCTATCCTACCCCATTATAAATGTCTTGGAGCCTTACAACCCCTTGATAAGTGTCCTAGTCCATTATCCAAGCGTATCCAATCCAAAGATACTTTCGCATTACAAAGATCACATTGGTGTGAAGTAATATCGGAACCTCGGAAAGCTCTAGGCATAGTGTTTTAAACCACAACGCAGTTGGTGTCTTAGAAAATAAAGCTAAGGTGCCATTATTAAAGTAATATGACTAAATTAGAATTTTTATTGTTAAAGTAGATTTATAATTCTTAATTATACGTTACATTATCTTGGAGTGATATATCGCTCATCCAGTGGAAAAAACGGTATTTTTTTTTTAATTTTCTACACGTTAGGAAGACGTGTTTAATGGAATCGATGATATAGTGTAGTATAAGAATGGATACGGAAATTGTCTCTCCCGGACCTGTTGTGAAAGTAACAATCATAAAACATGTAGAGTAGGTAATAATGATATTTTAGGATAGTTCTTAATAGTACCACATGCTGATCTCTGTTTACTTCCTTAAATCAGAAAAGAGAGCTCGCACCGAGCTTCTTTTCAGTAGCCTTCTAATGAGCATGTCAGTCGTGGTTATGCCGTTAATTAGTCTATTGTTTGTGAAGCTTATGTTAAAAACGAGAGTAAAGGATATGTATATGTTGATCCACAATTGGTTTTGGACAGTTTTAGTCCGTCGTACAGATCCCTATTTATCGAATTACTAACATCACAACACTAAATTACTAACACTGAGAAATTCGATTCTAGCCGATATAAACTATTCACGTGTTATATCGAAATCTAAATAGTTATATGTTGTGATTGCATCATTTTTGTACCAAAGAGTACTTAAATCAGGAAAATTCAGAAAAAAATTTGAAGATTCTATATCTGCACCTCATTATTTCATCAAAACGTTTCAAGGATCAAGCCAACTGGAGACTTTGAACGTTTAGCCACGTCTAAAAAACAGTGTACTGCTTCAGAACCACATTTGAAGTTATTTTATACTTCATAGTTGACCGTTGAATTATTAAGGAAGGAGATAGCCTGAAATGACGGTCATAAATAGATTAAAATAGTGGCAAAATTATTTTATTAAAAGCCAACATTTCGATCCTACTTTCCAGGCCTTCTTCAAGGCTAGAACGGACAAGATACAAAAATATAAAGAGAATTGTGGAAGTTACATAATATTTAGACAAAAATTATAAACAATGTGCATAAACTTATTAAAATTATAAGCAGTAAGTACATTAAAATATAAACAGAGTAACCAAAGTAACATGATCCTAAACTGAAGTAAATAGATGGTAACAATCGTTGTTGTATAAACTATAATATAATATGCAATTGTAAATATACTCCTACAGATCTGTAGGAGATATTGCAAGAAAAGGAAAAAGGATATAATATAAAATAATGGACATAAAGGAATGTGGAGAAATAAAAGAAAAAAATAAAACCAAAAAATAAGTAAATAAAATTATAAGAATAAAAATAGAGACTACAGGTGTGTTCAGCTAGGAGTTTCACTTAGAACTGGAAAACCTGAGTAAGTACCTTTGGGGAAATTTTCTGAACTGCTTGGGAAATGGCGAGGGGGTAATTAGTAAAAGTAAAACAAAACCTGGAATATTATAGTCTATAAAATTTGAAGATATGGATGGATACAAGGGAAAATACTATATCTATGGACTAATAAATTATAAATATATACATATAAAATAGAATTGAGAAATTATATATAGATGTACAATGTGGGTAAAAAAAAAAACAGAAAAAAAAACAACGTAAAACGTACATAGAAGTGAAATGTAAGTATAAAAATAAGAGATCATACATTGCAGAACTAATTTAGAAGTATAGAGAGGAAACAAATATGAATAATTATAATTATACTTAGTTGTAGCTATCTAATGAAAGCCCATCTTTATTGCTGACTTTCTTTTCCGATTTTTTGCGGTGATGACCCATGTCTCCGAGGGATATGTCGTTATTGGCTGGAATATACGCTTATATCATGGCCTCTTTGTACTGAGGTGTATATTCGAGCTCCAAATGATACCGTTGAGTACAGCCGTGACTTTAATATGATCAAATTATAGATTTATTTTATTTATTTTCCATTAAATTTGCCACTGCGTTGTAGCGCATCAAGCAAATGTGTTGAAGTTTATTCTGTCTTCAATTCTTGATATTTTTAACTTTTCAGTAGAAGATTTCTAGGCCACTGCCTTTTTAGTCGTCTTTGAGGATCACCAGGTAACAGGGAGGAAGGTAGAGATAGAACGAGTGGATTTGGATGGTTGAGAGTAGAAGAATGAAATATTGTGTACTTGTTGTGTATGTAGGATTTTACGAAGTATTTTGGATTGTGTGATTTGAATTTTGTTTATGTGTGTGTGTTTTGCGGAACTCCAAAGTTCTCCTCCGTATGTACAAATAGGTCTTAGTATAGTGGTGTAGATTAGTCGCTTGTTTAGTAAGTTGAGTCGAGATCTGAATTCCAAAAGATGTGACAGTTGTTTGTATCGTCTGGTCAGTTGTTTTTTTTTTTAATTTAGTGTGAATGTTCCAGGTGAGTTTTTTGTCCAAGTACAGTCCGAGATACCGTACATGTGTTTTTGAGGGAACTGGCTTATTGTCTATTGTCACGGCAGAACACGAGATCTTCCTCAGGGAGAAGCTAATATGAGTTGACTTGCTGGGATTATATATATATATATATATATATATATATATATATATATATATATACATATATATATACACACTTGTATACACTATGTACACTTGTACTGAAGTGTATATTCGAGCTCCAAATGATACCGTTTAGTATTGTCGTGAGATTTAAGATGATTAACTATAGATAAATTTACTTTGATTTACCTCCCTTATTAAGGATATTATTATATTATATATTATAATTTTTTACTGAATAAAAAAGAAAGCTCTGCTGATAATACACAGAAGCTGAGAGATAAGATAAGACATGGATCGGTAAGGAACAGGTATACGATGCTACCTGATACTACCTCGGAAGTGGGGTGTAATACAACAATACTACAAGTGGCCCCAGCAGATGCCTCCTCATATTTGCCTATATTGACCACTGACCCTCCAACTCCGGGTTCCAGATCCTCCTATAACAGCTAATAACTGGGCAACCCCACTGAAGGGGTCCAGGGGTCCGACTTATGGAATGGAAGGTATTCAATAAAGCGATCTCCAGCACCACCCCCTCTCCACATCTTTTCTTGATGTACTGGGGGAGGGGGCCCAATCTTGTGTTCTCTCACTTACCGGTATAGTGAGGTGAAACAAAAACTCAATCTATAAATATCTCTTTCAAAATATATTGGGTTGGCAAATAAGTCCTTTCGATTTTTCTGTATATTTTTATGTCTCTATGAAACACACTGATGAATTAATCCCTAAGGTGGATTATTTATCCTGTTTGTAATATGTCAACAACTATTTCTGTTCTCATCTCGACCGCTCCAGCTTAGTAAAGCTGACCAGGCTTAGGATAAACCACGGTAGAACAAATAAATATCTTCATCTAATGGGTCTAGCTAAGAGCGGTCACTGCTCAACATGCCAATGCTTGGAGGATCCAAGACACATTGCCTTCAAGTGCAAAAGGTTCGAGAAGCGAAGAAGAATTAGTTTAGGATCGCAAACTACGGATGATGGAGCTAACTTTCTTCGGTCGATGAACAAAGATAACGCTCGTGACTTGTTAAAGTCGACACTTATTCTCAGTTAATTGTAATTCTAATTCATTTCAGTTTTTAATCATTAGTCTTGCTAGTTTCCATAATATAAAATATCTAATAATATAATATCTAATATCCAAGTCCCATATAAGTCAGTTATCATCTAACTATAAATAATTAATATAAATCCAGTGTAAATTTCCGTCTAAAAACCCTAAATTCATCTTTGTTAGGGTTTTTGCAAAAAAAATCATGTGTTTGCTATTGCACTGTGAATATGGAAGAAAATATTATCGGCATATTTTGTTAAATTATTTTAAAAAAGGTAAGCGTGCTGCAGAAGCTCATAGAAACATTTGCTCTGTTTATGGGGATGGTACCTTAAACGAACGCACCTGTCAAAATTGGTTTGCTAAATTTCATTCAAGAAATCTTGACATCAATGACGCCCAACGGTCTGGTCGCCGACATGAAATTGAAACCAGCAATGTTAAGGCCATTGTTGATCAAAATCCCACCCAATCAGTGCAAGATATTGCTATGGTTCTAAATGTGTCACAAACAAGCGTAGAAAACCATTTGCATAAGCTCCGCTATGTTTCTAGACTTAATATTTGGGTCCCTTACATGATTTTTTTCGAAGATCATAAAAAATGTTATAACTTCAATGCGACTTTATTTATCTACAATAAATTTAGCAGGAATTTAGAGCCACATAAACTTCACAAAATGACAATAGGATCTTCATAAACAACCTATAAGGAGTTTTTATTTATTTAATAATAATAATTTTTATAAAATCGTATGGTTTGCAGTTACCTCATTGTTCCCTAAGATAAAATATATAATCACGAAACATGGCATGACTGCGAGTAAAGATGATTAAACTGCAATTCACTTACATAAAACCAAACCCAAACGTTTTGTCCAGAGCTATAACCCATTTAAATCTCCTCGACTTCCACACAGAAAGGACAAAGGACTGCTATTATCCTCAATCATGGACATCGCTCCAGGATTACAGAATGTCCTGCGAAGAATCCTCCCGCTATTATCCTCCTAATGACGCGGCGTTCGATATTTATAAGATTGCAGAGACAATGGGAGAGCTGATATAGAGACGCCATTTGGCTCCTGTCCCGGCGGCTAAAGCCCCACTAAATCAGCTGATACCGACTCACTACGGTCAACTGGGTCCCATCTTCTATGTTAATACTTGCCCATATTATAAAATATGTCCCCATGGCTCTTTAAAACACGAGGGGCCCCCCTCTCGAATTGTACTTGGATAGTTCCCCTTGTGGAGTATATCACTTCTATAGCCCGGAGGGGGGTCATTCCAGAACTCAACAGTTCCTCTGGTTTATAGGGCACAAGGAGGGGGAGGAAGTGGAGAAGATTTAGGGAGGAATCACGAGCTCATTAAATAAAATAACGTCATTAATGTTCGGGTAAGGATATAAATAATATTATAGTCTGGTAGGTTTGAAAAAAGAAGAATATT